TAGAAAACAGTTGGTACATGTTATCCAACAGATTTTCCATATTATTCAATTCTTTCATAAATCTGGCCGAAACTAGAGTCTTGTGATGGACTAAACTAGCATAAAATCTATTTCTCAAGGTTTTTTCGTTATCCAAATAAAAATTAATAAGGGTATGATAATAGCTTGCTTTGATTTGATTTCCTTCTGCGACACAAGTCATAAACATCAAGTGACAAGAGGCACCCCAATAAAACTGTGTGATATGATCCACAGAAAGTGCTGCAATTTCACATTCTGCCCTTCTCAAAATATAATCCACATAGTCCAATTCACCCAACAGTTGTGAACTCAATGTCAAAATACCCAAATAGAAAGCATAAATACATCTCAATTCCCCCTTTGATTTTATCCATCCATCATTATGAAGCAATTCAACATCTTCCCCTCTCTCAAAACAATGCAAGTAATTATTCACAAAATGTACAAGTTTAGCCCTCTCAATCAGAGGATGAATACCACAAATGAAAGTAAAGTACAACTCAATCACCCTCATAGGTGTAATTGGAGAGGGTTTAGTTGTAAATATTCCAGCACTACCATTTGCATTATTGGTCATTGTAATATCGGTACTACTCTGATCATCGGAAGTCTTTTTCTTAATAGTATCATCGGATGATGATGACGATGACTTGGATTTATCCTTTGATTTTAATGAATATAATTCAGAACCCTTTCCTCTCTTTTGTGGTGTATTGTACTATAAGAAGTTTTCCATTCACATATTCATATGAATAGTGTAATTATTATTGTAATTAAATATATCGAAATATGAAGTGATAATATTTTGATGATGGGGGTATAAGGAATATTTTCAATTAATTGAAACGTACAACACATTCCGATCCGACTGCTAAACACTTTGAGCATCCACTTAATTTCTTATCACACTATTTTGATGAAGTTTTTAAATGAAAGTTTTAAAAGATGAAAACAAACCTTTTTATGCAATTTTCTACATCGAATACATGCAATGGGATGGCAATCTCCACTAAACGTCAATTGATTCATTTGCTGATGTTCCTGTTGTTTGTCATTACTTTCACTATTATCGGGAGGAGATGATGATGATGAAGGATCCACTTGATGAAACATTTTTTTCGTAGTTTAAAGTAACTAGTCGATCGGTTCTGCATGCCAAAACCAGAGAATGCATTGGCCAAGTTTGAATGTGGTTGGAAATGTTGGTAAAGTGCTTCGGCGGGGTGGAGTTTTTAATATGTACGCCTTTAACAATGTTGTAAAAATATTTAAATATTTAAAAAAAAAATATCCACAGTAATTCTACTAACCAATGTTATTACAGCAAAATCATCCTCCTTAGAATTTGTATCTTTAAAACGGAACAAACCTAACTAGAGAGAACAAAGAGGATCACTACAAGTTAAACAATAACAATTATCGTACTTAAACCAGAAAGAAAAAAATGATTGGTGCTGGTGGTATGCCAGGTGCCGGTGCCGATGCTGCTGGTTCTTCCGATGATGCTCCTCCATCTGGTGCTCAACCAAAACTCTCTCGACTCTTACAAATTGAACAAGATTTTGCTGCAAAAGATGACCTTGGTATTATTTCCGAAATACATGATAGTAACCAAAAGATTCTGTTGATATCATGCCACACCTTGAATGCGGATCATTCTCTCAACACGGATCATGTAATAGTCAAGATTGATACCATCATTAGATCATACAAGATCCGAAATCCCAATACCACAATCAAGGCACCTCTCATGATT